TGAATGATATATTATATGTTCCATAGACACATATGACTTGTACAAATGATATATTATATGTTCCATAGACATATGACTTGTATGAATGAAATATTATATGTTCCATAGACACATGACTGGTATGAATGATATATTATATGTTTCATAGACACATATGACTTGTATGAATGATATATTATATGTTCCATAGACACATGACTGGTATGAATGATATATTATATTTTCCATAGACACATATGTCTTGTATGAATGATATATTATATGTTCCATAGACACATATGACTGGTATAAATGATATATTATATGTTCCATAGACACATATGACTTGTATGAATGATATATTATATGTACCATAGACACATGACTGGTATGAATGATATATTATATTTCATAGCTACTGTACAACACACATATGACTTGTATGAATGATATATTATATGTTCCATAGACACATATGACTGGTATGAATGATATATTATATGTTCCATAGACACATATGACTGGTATGAATGATATATTATATGTTCCATAGACACATATGACTGGTATGAATGATATATTATATGTTCCATAGACACATATGACTTGTATGAATGATATATTATATGTACCATAGACACATGACTGGTATGAATGATATATTATATTTCATAGCTACTGTACAACACACATATGACTTGTATGAATGATATATTATATGTTCCATAGACACATATGACTTGTATGAATGATATCTTAAATGTTCCATAGACATGTATAACTGGTATGAATGATATAGTATATGTTCCATAGACACATGACTGGTGTGAATGATATATTATATTTCATAGCTACTGTACAACACATATATCACTTGTACGAATGATATATTATATGTTCCACAGACACATGACTGGTATGAATGATATATTATATGTTCCATAGACACATATGACTGGTATGAATGATATATTATATGTTCAATAGACACATATGACTTGTATGAATGATATATTATATCTTCCATAGACACATATGACTTGTACCAATGATATATTATATGTTCCATAGACACATAATATGACTTGTATGAATGAAATATTATATGTTCCATAGACACATGACTTGAATGAATGATATATTATATGTTACATAGACACATATAATATAAATGATATAGTATATGTTCCATAGACACATATCACTTGTACGAATGATATATTATATGTTCCATAGACACATATGACTTGTATGAATGATATATTATATGTTCCATAGACACATATGACTTGTATGAATGATATATTATATGTTCCATAGACACATATGACTTGTATGAATGATATATTATATGTTCCATAGACACATATGACTGGTATGAATGATATATTAAAAGTTCCATAGACACATATGACTTGTATGAATGATATATTATATGTTCCATAGACACATATGACTTGTACGAATGATATATTATATGTTCCATAGACATATGACTTGTATGAATGAAATATTATATGTTCCATAGACACATGACTGGTATGAATGATATATTATATGTTCCATAGACACATATGACTTGTATGAATGATATATTATATGTTCCATAGACACATGACTGGTATGAATGATATATTATATTTTCCATAGACACATATGTCTTGTATGAATGATATATTATATGTTCCATAGATATATATGACTGGTATGAATGATATATTATATGTTCCATAGACACATATGTCTTGTATGAATGATATATTATATGTTCCATAGACACATATGTCTTGTATGAATGATATATCAAATGTTCCATAGACACGTATGACTTGTATGAATGAAATATTATATGTTCCATAGACACATATGACTTGTATGAATGATATATTATATCTTCCATAGACACATATGACTTGTACCAATGATGTATTACATACCTAGCGAAGCATTTGTATGGAAGTCAATGGGAAAGTTAGCGAGCTATATCCACCGATATTGCCCGATTACCCCGATATAGCCCGCTTACCTCGTTTTGATATTAGATTTCTTTAATAACCATGATAATATCATGACGTCACGTCATTGATACAAAGTAACCATGGGAACAAAGGCATGTAATACATCAGTTATGTCACTATGACGTGAAATATGCCTTCGTTCTTGCCCAAATATAGAGCCTCCCAAGGTCGGCCTATATTGGGAGAACTCAGGCATATTTCACGTCATAGTGACATAACCTCTAAATATTATATGTTCCATAGACACATATGACTTGTATGAATGATATATTAAATGTTCCATAGACACATATGACTTGTATGAATGATATATTATATGTTCCATAGACACGTATGACTGGTATGAATGATATATTATATGTTCCATAGACACATATGACTTGTATGAATGATATATTATATGTTCCATAGACACATATGTCTTGTATGAATGATATATTATATGTTCCATAGACACATGACTGGTATGAATGATATATTATATGTTCCATAGACACATATGTCTTGTATGAATGATATATTATATGTTCCATAGACACATATGACTTGTATGAATGATATATTATATGTTCCACAGACACATGACTGGTATGAATGATATATTATATGTTCCATAGACACATATGACTTGTATGAATGATATATTATATGTTCCATAGACACATGACTGGTATGAATGATATATTATATTTTCCATAGACACATATGTCTTGTATGAATGATATATTATATGTTCCATAGATATATATGACTGGTATGAATGATATATTATATGTTCCATAGACACATATGTCTTGTATGAATGATATATTAAATGTTCCATAGACACATGACTGGTATGAATGATATATTATATTTCATAGCTACTGTACAACACACATATGACTTGTATGAATGATATATTATATGTTCCATAGACACATATGACTTGTATGAATGATATGTTATATGTTCCATAGACACATATGACTTGTATGAATGATATATTATATGTTCCATAGACACATGACTTGTACGAATGATATATTATATGTTCCATAGACACATGACTGGTATGAATGATATATTATATTTCATAGCTACTGTACAACACACATATGACTTGTACGAATGATATATTATATGTTCCATAGACACATATGACTTGTATGAATGATATGTTATATGTTCCATAGACACATATGACTGGTATGCATGATATATTAAATGTTCCATAGACACATATGACTTGTATGAATGATATATTATATGTTCCATAGACACATGACTGGTATGAATGATATATTATATGTTCCATAGACACATATGTCTTGTATGAATGATATATTATATGTTCCATAGACACATATGACTTGTATGAAGGATATATTATATGTTCCATAGACACATGACTTGTACGAATGATATATTATATGTTCCATAGACACATATGACTTGAATGAATGATATATTATATGTTCCATAGACACATATGTCTTGTATGAATGATATATTATATGTTCCATAGACACATATGTCTTGTATGAATGATATATTATATGTTCCATAGACACATGACTTGTACGAATGATATATTATATGTTCCATAGACACATATGACTTGAATGAATGATATATTATATGTTCCATAGACACATATGTCTTGTATGAATGATATATTATATGTTCCATAGACACATATGACTTGTATGAATGATATGTTATATGTTCCATAGACACATATGACTGGTATGAATGATATATTATATGTTCCATAGACACATGACTTGTATGAATGATATATTATATGTTCCATAGACACATATGACTTGTATGAATGATATATTATATGTTCCATAGACACATATGACTGGTATGAATGATATATTATATGTTCCATAGACACATATGACTTGTATGAATGATATATTATATGTTCCATAGACACATGACTGGTGTGAATGATATATTATATTTCATAGCTACTGTACAACACATATATCACTTGTACGAATGATATATTAAATGTTCCACAGACACATGACTGGTATGAATGATATATTATATGTTCCATAGACACATATGACTTGTATGAATGATATATTATATTTCATAGCTACTGTACAACACACATATGACTTGTACGAATGATATATTATATGTTCCATAGACACATATGACTTGTATGAATGATATGTTATATGTTCCATAGACACATATGACTGGTATGAATGATATATTAAATGTTCCATAGACACATATGACTTGTATGAATGATATATTATATGTTCCATAGACACATGACTTGAATGAATGATATATTATATGTTACATAGACACATATAATATAAATGATATAGTATATGTTCCATAGACACATATCACTTGTACGAATGATATATTATATGTTCCATAGACACATATGACTGGTATGAATGATATATTATATGTTCCATAGACACATGACTGGTATGAATATTATTATATTATATGTTCCATAGACACATATGACTTGTACGAATGATATATTATATGTTCCATAGACACATATGACTTGTATGAATGATATATTATATGTTCCATAGATATATATGACTGGTATGAATGATATATTATATGTTCCATAGCTAAACAATGATCATTTTTTGATGGAAGTACGAAATCCATATTTGGATAAATTAAATGGATGTGCATAGCAACAAAGCTATATATGTAGGGATACTGTTCACAATATTGAGATAAACTACGAGTCTTGGTATTAGGGTAAAATAATGGTAATGGTCGACAAGCCCGAGTCCATTATTTTCTGTTAAGACCCAGGACGAATTTCAGTAGCACTGCATGTATTAGGCCAGGTACAGTGTAAACTTTGATTTATTTTGTGTTTACTATTCAGCTAGAATAGAGTGTAAATAGTTTAGCATCAGTGTATTGCATGTGATAGTGTAGGTGTACACATTGAGCATAGATGATGCTAAAGTTGTAAATAAGCTAAGATCAGAACTATAGGTTACAACACAAATGTATAAATTGTGAATTTTATTTTAAAGAATGTACAGTAACAAAAGAAGAGTACAAGTACATTTATATTGTGCCACACTCGTTTTGAATAGCTTGCCAAATTCCCATCCTTTAAAAGTAGAAAAGAATGCACTCTTCTTTGTCACAACTGTACATTATTTAAGTGGTTTTTAAGAAAACATTATATGTCTTCTGATAAAAGTACATCGAATTGCACTTCCGTACTTCTTTGTGGCATGTGGCATGAAGTTGATTCATTGCTGTCGCTTTTCATTGTTCTCCATAAACATTGCCATCTGATCAAAGAGTCAATTCTGTCAGTCAACTCTTCTCGTACCTTAGTAGTTATGACAGGCAAAGTTGTTTCATTGCTGTAGCTCTCAACTGAATCCTATCAAGTTTGCCATTTGGTCGGAGAGGAAAGCTGTCAACAAAGACAAAGTATTTTGGCGCCATGCTTTTGCCATCTGCTGTTCCCTCTTCAGTGAACACCTCATCACACCAGTTTCTCATATCTTCAGCAGTAAGGTTGGCATCGGGTTTCACTTCAATGCAAGCACATATCTCCTCATAGAGTCTTTCATCTGGTACACCTACCACGTACACACCTTCAATGCTCTCATTCGTAGCAAGGGTCTGTTCAAGTGGACCTGAAACTATTGAAAGCGTTCCACGTTTAATCATGTCTTTGCAACGTCCAAATATGTACAGTCTTCCAGCTGAATCCATCTCCCCAATATCACCTGTGTGGAACCAGCCATGTTCATCTTGAAAAGCCTTGCTGACCCAGTTATGCCCCCTCAGACATACCTCTCCAGGTTGATTAATGGGAACAATGTAACCATTTTCATCAATCAATTTCACTTCAGCGTGAGGGACGGGAAATCCAACTGTAACGCGGCCATTAACTACCAGTGGTTCAGATATGGCTGTAGTCACCATGGTACCTCCAATTTCACTAGAACCATATGCGTTAACAACGGTTAGACCTTTAAAAATATGTTTCATTCCTTCAACAAGATTTTCTGGAATTTTTTGACCGCAGACAAATATTGTTTCTAGGCTTTCGATGCTATATTTCGTCTTGGAATCACTATGGATGATATCATACATTAGGTAGGGCATGGCCATTAGATGGGTGCATTTCTCAGATTTTAGGCACTCAAGTAGGAACTCAGTTTGTTTCTCACTTACGGTTGTACTTGTGTCAATGGATATACCCGTTACACCAATCCTGGCAACACACACTGCCAAATTTAAACCACCTAGCCAGGATAGTGGGCGATCGTTGAAAAACACACTTTTGTCATCTATTCCTCCCCTCAGACTACAAGAGAAGTAGTATGCATTCAACATGGCTTGGTGGCTTATAGGAACGGCTTTTGGAGAACCGGAGCTACCAGAAGTTAGAACGATAAAGGCGTCGTCTTCACAATTCTGTTGTAACATATTCCTGATGACATCGTCGACTTCAATCTGCTTAGGAATTAATAAAATGTCATCATAAAAGTTGGAATTACCAAAGGGCTTCCCAATGGAAATTATCACTGGTTTTGTGTTTTCGTTTAATTCATTATCCTGATTTACCACACGTTCAATAACTCTGTTTGCAATAGGACTGTTATCATTATATATGAAAAGGCCTCTGCATTTAGCACTCTTTATTTTGTTGAAAATGTCCTCCCCACTTTTTAGTTCGTAGCTTAGGCAGACTACAGTAGCCCCGATATAGAGGACGCCCCATGCAGCGATTAGAAACTCATTACAATTAGGCGCCAGTATAGCGACATTGTCACCGCGGTTGATGCCAAATTTCTTCAATGCTGCACCAATTTTTCTCGATTTGCTTTGCCATTCTTCGAACACTAACACATCCTTCCATAAACGTAGCTCCGCACCCAATATTTAGAGGGGCTCATATCTGAAGAACATTTCTGAATTTTTATAAAATCACACAGATACTGCCTGGCTTCCAAGATGCAAAAATAATTTGCATGGGTAGTGTATCTTGAACACCATTTTTTATGAATGCTGGGGACGCAGTATTAAAAGGATAGTCTCAAAATATATAGGTCTGGGAAATGTTTAAGGCATACTGCGTCGCTATAAAATGAATTGCACTACTATTTTCACAATTTTATTGATATTTGGTGTCAAATACACATATCTTGGTATATTTGAAGTCCCAAAACGGCTTAGTTTCAGAAATATCCCAATTTTAAATTCAAAAATGACCGTTAGCTCCGCACCCTCCGCTCATTTGCGCCGCACCCAATATTTCCCACAGGCTCTGTCTGCATAGGGTGATACTGAAACAACAATAAACAATGTCAGCTTATATCAACTGATACAGCATCTGACCTATATACACTCCTGGTCGCATGTTAAATACCAGGCATTTCACAAAAATCAGTATATTGTCAGTTGCATTAGCATAGATCTGGATTATATTGTTGTTATCGTTCTAAATTGTCGGAAAATATACTCGTTGATATACTCAACGCATACCTAATGTCGTAAAGTCTCGTTCTAAGACTTGTTTCCTTTATGTCAGATGCAAGGGATTTTTTATTTAAATTTTTTCGAATATTGCAATATACGAGGCTTTGTCCCAGAAGTAATGCACTATATGCTCTAACTTTCTCTAATATTCTTCAATTCAGCTGAAATTTTGTGTATATAACAATTGAAGTTTTATCTATTTTATCCTGAAGTTTCAGCATCAAACATTAATATTAAGTCTTAATATGGTTGCTATATCTACATGGGGATAGGGATAGGGTCTGGAGGGACAGGTACCAATTTTTCTAATTATGAAATGATCCAAAGTGTTATTTTATTAATATTTTTTCTTTTAAATGATAAAAATGTTTGGGAAATTGTTAAATTTATTCAGCATGATGTTAACCGAGTACAAATAATGACATTTAGCACTGTGATGTCATAATACCACAGTTCAATAGTCACAAATTCAAATACAGACACAGTGAAGAAATTGCAAAAAATGGCTGCAATTCTCACCTGATAACAGAAGGCCTTGCGTTTGGTGGCCTCATTTCATACTTCACTTGGACTCACAGTCACGCAAAACAATGCTACCATGAAGAAAGTATATAACGAGTATATACAAGATAGAACTATAATTATGAGGTGGCAGAAGAGATTTATTTTTATTTATTTTGGAGGCAAAAACTCCACACGTCACAGTGGAAGAAATTGCCAAGAGTGTTTGGCCTGACAGGCATCAAAAGTACATAACATGCAAAGGGCAATATTTTGAGAAAATGTGAAATGGGACACTGTGCAATATACATCCATTAGATCTCGGATGTGCTCATAGTAATTTAGTAATTTAGTATCTTAAAATGTTTTTTGGAGCATACTTCTTATGTAGCTACACAAAATGGTATTTGTTGATTAATTATTCCTTTTTATTCTTTTTGACGTGACTGTATAACCTGCCCCACCCTACCCAAACTCACCAAATTGATTTTATTATAACATCTATATAATTTTATCAGTCAACATGAAAATTTGTAGAATAATCAAAATGTCTCTAAGGAACATTTACTGAAAATTTCATGGAAAAATATCAATTATTGATAAAGTTAGAGCATATAGTGCATTACTTCTGGAACAACCCTCGTATTTTAACATTGTCAGATGGAAGAAATAACATTACTGTATGTTGTTAATTTGAGTGATTGTTATCTCTGTAACACGTGTATCATCCATGTTCTGAATCCCAAACAAGGTCACAGTGAAAGAGGTAGGTTTGACACTTTGCACGATAGTGCAAACTAGAGTCAAATCAATAAACTCATGTGCATTTCAAGGTTCAAATACATCGTTGGAAAGCTGAGAGTGTCAGCTTTTACATCCACTCGGATTTTTAGTGATTGAAATAGATATTAACCCTTTCATCCCAAAGGGCTCATTTATTGATTTAATGAAAATCAAATTTTAAAATGACAAATACGCTTATGGCCAGAATGAATTCTTTTTAGGTTTACAATAACCAAGAGGCTGAATTCAGATAGGCTCAGAAAGGGGCCATTAAGAGCAGTGAACCAATTTTGTGACAAGATACCTCAGAATCTTTGTTTTCGGGAGAAATGAGATTTGATAGCCTATTTGAAATACGTATGTGTGTACATTTGGGTATTTAGGAATGTAGAATACAAATTAGACCATAAGAAGTAGATCTTATGTTTTGCGTCCTGGCAAAATCCAAATCATGCAAGGTTACAAGGAAAACAAACACAAACTTAATAAAAAACACAAGCTTGTTTGCTGAGAAATGTATACATTTTATGGGGATAAAAAGGGATGACATACCAATTTGCAGTGATTGCAAACATATATCTATACATTTTATACAATATATTTAAACATAGCTATTATTCAAGGGTAAAAACTAAGAAAATACACAATGTATGCCAAAGTAATCAATAACACTGTCAATTTTGATGCACATCAAAGTATCCGCCATTTCATCTGATTTTGATTGAACAATACGCGATGGTACTTTCAGACCCTTGAGACTGCTATTTGGATGGTAGAGATTAAAAGGTGGATTGGATCGAGTGGATTGGATTCATATCATGGTGAATTGGATTGGGAATCTTCAAAATATGGAATTTCTTTAAGATTTCTTTCAGTTGATCTCCATTTAAAGTGTGCGCCAAAGTTTAAAACTGCGCAGGCGCACCGCTCTCGCTAAACTATATAAAGAGATTACCGGGTACACGATTCAGAGGTAAGCCAGGAAGGCGAACGATCTTCGTCTCATGATGATTTCCCATATAATCGTAACCAGGGAAGTTTCACCATTGAAATTGAAAATTACTATTAGATATACTTTGTAGATGTTATTTATGAAGCTATTTAGTGTTTGCATCAATCAAATGGCTCATTTTGAACATATAAAAAGTATTTGTGTTTTGATTCCCAGGGAATTGTATTGTGTACACACATAAATAGTGTACATTATACAGTACTTGAATAGCCTGGTTTACATAATATTGAAGGGCATGCTGATTACATGCACACGAGTACATGAATGAAGGCCTAATATTGATATACGTAGCTTGCATACCTAAATAAAAAATAAACTCTTCTAATCCCCTAATGTAAACACGGCGGTATACGTAGCCCGATTTATCGGAGACTTTAAGCAATTTCGCTCTAAAGAATTTTTTGATCACATATGTCCCTTTGAGGAATCCGAACAAAGCAAAAACAAATATATACTCCAATTAGTTGATAGATACTCCTTAAGTATTTAACTGCTTTCCCTTGTAAATCAACTTTTATAAGATATAATAAATATAGATCTGTAGATAAAAGCTTTCATTCAAATTGATGTGTGGGTGTTCCCAAAACATTTCTCCTATGTTCTGTTTGGAATGAAAACATGATATCTTCAAACCAGTCTGCCTAATGATTTATGAGATGTTTCAAATTACACTTGGAATGAATAAGATTGTGGATCGTAAAGTGCGTACCAGGTCATCTTTCTAGCCCACCCAAGCAAAATAATATTACATCTATCATTTGATATTGTGGGAGTGAGGAGAGCACCGATCTTCTTAGAGGGAGATCAATAGAATTTTTAAGGAAAATCCATATTTTGAAGACTCTCGATCCAATCCACATTTTACATGAATCCAATCCACTCGATCCAATCCATTTTTTAATCTTTATCATTTGGATGTGTTTGTCTTTTCTGATTTACTCAAAATCGTGCAAGCAAGGGGACGCAAAACAAAGAATCACATTCTGATGGCTTTACTATTTTAACCCTGAGAATATTAGGATTGCAGTAAGTGTGTATTGACTTAACATGAAAATATTCACTTTCGACTTCATATTGTATATAATCATATTCCTTTTGACCTCATTGTATTTGTAAATATGTCTTTATAAGTATATTTATCATTGTAATAAATTCAAGCCATCAATCCAGTATTTGACCTTCATCTCAAGTTTGCATACTGTCTAAAATTGAGTGATTCCAATGAATAGTTAGACATAACAGTCCATATAGACATTCTAAAACCATACATTTTCACATACACTCTCCCCCCCCCCCCTTATATAAACTGAGGAGAGGAGCAAAGTCACTGATCATATAGAGTGACACAAATACATAGTGGTCCAAAAAAATCATTCACATTGTTGATTGCGTAGCAATATTCAAACAATAGGAAGATTTCATGATTTTTCCATAGACCTGTCCTACAGTGATGTAAGTTTTGTGTGGTACGGTCGGGTGTTCACAGTAAATGAACGTCCATTAGATCCTCAACCGTACAAATAAGTATCACCATTATGACCTGATTTCCACCATTCGCCTCCTCTACATCACATGTTTGATGCTGATGCTCAGAAGGCTAAAGCTGAGCCAAAGAAATGCATTTTCCATGTGTTGAGGATCATTACAAACTTAAATGTGTAATTAACTATAGCGATTCAGCACCAAAGAGCTTGGACTGAGCACATTAGAAACGATTGGCCTGTGCTCTCATTACGGTGGTATATCAAATAAAATTTAAACCACACAACACTAACATAACTGAAGGACAGGTCCATGAAAAAAAGTGAAATCTTCTCATTGTTAGAAAATGCTGTTACACGTCGCACGAAACTGGGGACAATTAGGGTAACATTATCACTGGTACTCGTCTAGTTACACTGACGATACGTCAGCGTAACAAGATGGAAGAACTTCCGGGGCTTCGTTTTCGGTAAGATATTTTTATTTGTTGATTATACACCACTTATAAGTCAAATTGTGGACAATAATATGGCTCAAAGTTAAGGAACATAGTCTAGTTTGAGAATATGCAGGCGGTTCTATGTTTGGTATATTAAAGAAGACACAATTCACATATTTAGTCCCTCGCTTTTGTTACGTTGACAATCTTCATGAATATTGTCACATTGGCAATATTCACGTAGCTCGTTCTTCAATTGTCTTCTGTTGGTTTCTTTATTCTGAAATGTATAAATGACCCTTATGTCATTGTCGCAATCTTAAGCGTCCTCTATTCAAGTCTGCCATTTGGCGAGAGGAGAAACTGTCCTCAATTTTATACTGACATTTTAAGTTGTGCCATTGCTAAAGTTTTCAATTGTCCTCTATCAAGTTTGCCATTTGGTCTGAGGGGAAAGCTGTCAACAAATACAAAATATTTTGGCGCCATACTAATGCCATCTGCTGTTCCCTCTGCAGTGAACACCTCATCACACCAGCTTCTCATGTCATCAGCAGTAAGGTTGGCATCGGGTTTCACTTCAATGCAAGCACATATCTCCTCATATAGTCTTTCATCTGGTACACCTACCACGTACACACCTTCAATGCTCTCATTCGTAGCAAGGGTTTGTTCAAGTGGACCTGTAACTATTGAAAGCGTTCCACGTTTAATCATGTCTTTGCAACGTCCAAATATGTACAGTCTTCCAGCTGAATCCATCTCCCCAATATCACCTGTGTGGAACCAGCCATGTTCATCTTGAAAAGCCTTGCTGACCCAGTTATGCCCCCTCAGACATACCTCCCCAGGTTGATTAATGGGAACAATGTAACCATTTTCATCAATCAATTTCACTTCAGCGTGAGGGATTGGGAATCCAACTGTAACGCGGCCATCAACTACAAGAGGGTCGGATATGGCTGTAGTTACAACAGGACCACCAATTTCACTAGAGCCGTATACATTTGCAACTGTTAGTCCTTTGAAAATATCTCTCATTCTCTGCACAAGATTTTCTGGAATTTTTTGTCCACCGACAATTATTGTTTTGAGACTTGTGATACTATATTTGATATTTGAATCACTATGTATGATATCATACATAAGGTATGGCATGGCTATGATGTGTGTACAACCCTCGGATTTCATGCACTCGAGTATGAACTCAGTCTGTGTCCCACTTACAGTTGTACTTGTGTCAATTGATACGCCAGTTGTTCCCATCTTGACCACACATACAGGCAGCATCAGACCCCCGAGCCAGGAGAGGGGGCGATCATTGAAGAATACGCTTTTTTCATCCATTCCACCTTTTAAACTACACGAGAAGTAGAATGAATTTAAAAGAGCTTGGTGGTTCATGTTAACCGTTTTAGGTGTTCCTGTGCTACCAGATGTCAAAGCTATAAAAGCATTATCTTCACAGTTTAGTTTGAACATATTCTTGATGACATCATCAACTTCGGCAGGTGAAGGAATATTTAAAAGATTATCAAATGAATGAGTACCATCAAAAGACTTGCCAATGGAAATTATCAATGGCTTTCCGATTTCATGCAATCCATTATCCTGATCTAGCGCACGTTTCAAAACTCTGTCTGCCATAGGACTGTTATCATAATATATGAAAAGGCCTCTGCATTTAGCACTCTTTATTTTGTCGAAAATGTCCTCCCCACTTTTGAGTTCGTAGCTAAGGCATACAGCAGTAGCCCCAATATAGAGGACGCCCCACGCAGCGATCAGAAACTCATTACAATTAGGCACCAGTATAGCGACATTGTCACCGCGGTTGATGCCGAATTTTTTCAATGCTGCACCAATTTTTCTGGATTTACTTTGCCATTCTTCGAACAACATTACATCTTTTGCTTTATTTATTGAATGATAAATGATTGCTTCTTTCTTTGGGTACTCCATGGCTGTGTTTTCCAGAGCTTCAGCAAGGGTTAACGTTTCGAGGGGGAGACCAGATGCCCCGTGGATGTGAGACTTTGTGAGAGGCTTCGAAGGTAGTGTGATGCCACAACGGCTCTGCATCCTGGCTCGTATACCTAAAATTACAATGTAGATTTCTTGCATCATGTAGGACTAAGTAACACTTGTTTCAGTAAAAATGAGAACTAGATAATTGTTATGAACACGAGAACTTCAAAATGAGGAGTGCCATGCTTTTGAAAAAATTTCGAATAATTTTAGATACTGAATGTATGCGTTTTAGTATTATCTTGAAGAAAAGATTAATTACAATTAATTAATTATAAAACTAAGATAAAGTTTTTAAAAATTGCAAATATTAATACGCACCTTTTTCTGGGTTGAAGAATCCGGCCAAATATGTTCGAGTTCACAATTTGCACTTCTCAGCTGATATACTTATTTTTGTTACTGATTAGCTACTAAGATTTTAGGCACTCCCTTTAACAGTTAACCCTAGAAGCCCTAAGGGGGGGTCAAAATGACCCCCCCTGTTAAGTTTTTTCCCCATAACTTTTTATTGGCATCTGGTAGGGTCTTCAAATTTTCAGTAGCTGAAGCTACAGATATAAGACATGTTTTCTGAAAAAATCAGCAGAATTGTACATACGGTTACTGATTTATTATGATGTAATCATCAGCTGCAATAGACAAAATCGGAAAAAGCTAGCACTATTTCTTCCATACATGTTATCTTTCGAATAAGATTACACAATCTTCCATCATCATAGTTGTTAAAGTTATTACACCAAGTTGTAGATAATTGAATGAAGTATATTTTGGTAAAAATTTGAACATCCTAGCTTTACTAATTTGTTATTTATTTATTATGATGTAATCATCAGCTCCAATAGACAAAATCAGAAAAAAGCTAGCACTAATTCTACCATACATGTTGTCTTAAGAATAAAATTACGCAATATCACATCATCGCAGTTGTTAAAACTTTTATACCAAGTTGTAGATAATTGAATGAAGTATATGTGGAAAAAGTTTGAACATCCTAGCTCTTCTTATAAAAATTTTACAAGGGGGGTGCCCTTTTGACCCCCCCTTAGGTGTTCGTGTGACTATTTTTACCTTAGGGCTTCTAGGGTTAATATGATTTAAGAATCATTTTATTAGGAGGCCCCTCCAAGCGGCCTCCTATCGATTTAATATAACGATCATGAACGTCATTATATTTTATTTGACAATTGATGCTTTGCCAACATGACCATTAAAAAAAGATTCATTGAGAATATGTTCTTTAAGTGACTTCGTATTTTTAGGTGATTTCGTAGAAACTGTTTTGCAATGTGTGAAAAGAATTTAAGCCGAGACTTGATGCATTGTCGCTGATTCATTCCACTCAGACGTTGTTTCCTAAACTTTGCATTCCCACTCTGCGGTCGTGCAAATTTGAAAACAACTTAAACCTTATCAATTCCCCAGTATGATTAAGATTTTCAATTATGAAAATTAGCTAATTTGCATAAATTGTAATTTCATCAATCTATTTTTGGTTCAGAATCTAACAGTATTCAACAAATAAGCTTTGTGCATCTATCTATCTACTTTAAACAGAATGATAAACTTATCAGCGTTAGAAATAACCCTCATAAGACATTTTTGCAAGCTGTGTTGTGTGGCATCCTGTATCCCGCATTCTGGATTCTCCATGAAAACGTACATTTGCATGGTAGAGTAGGTTTACATAGTGGCGTTACGATGTAATAAAATTGTTTTACTCGATTTAGATTATGTTTTTGCTGCCTTACAGTATGATGGGCACATTTTACAATGGTGAGCCAAAACACTTTCAAAAACTCATTTGTCATGGAATCGGATGTATAAAATCACCACGAGCACGTTTCTGTTTTTTGTGGCAAAACTTATTACATTTTCAGAGCAGAAATTTTACGTCACGTGACACGATTATCAAATGACACTTCATCGAGAATCAATTTCCCGCAAAATACTATTTTGTAAATAAAAATAAAACCCTGGCCTCAAAAACGAGTTATTCAATCTTAGACTGAGCCAATTATTGCATGATTTAAGGTTATCCTTTAGTCAATTTTGCAAAGGGTGTACTAGTTGATCGAGTGGCTAATGAAAGCATGTACAGGGTGGGCCAAAAAAACGTCCACATTTTTATTTTTGCAATATCTGCTGATATAATAAAAAATATCCATAACCTATATATCATTAGAAAGATATTTAAATTTTCAACAAAATGATGTATGATTTATAAAATATGAATGGCTATTGGTGACTCAATGGTATTTTCCGTATCACGAGGTAGCAACAGTTGAAAATAAGATTTTGCTGTTTTGAGTTTATTGCATTATATCACATTGATTAATCAACACTTTTAGGCTTTTACATATAAGGAAATTATTGGAGTTGAGTTTTATTGTTTGTAAGTCATTTTATTATTAAGTTTAGAATAACCATGGAACCTATTCTTCTGCATTGAAGCTCGTTATAAAGTTAGATTGTTAGATACATTGATGTTTGCTTCAAACACGTTTTGCAAAGAAACTCAGTTGAAATTTTCCCATTACCCATGATATGGAATGAATTTCCATTATTTCTTCTTCCGGTGTCTATAATTGCATAGTCTGCCATTTCAAACGTCAGATAAGTCAAATAAGGACAAAATCAGTATTGCCCATTTCATGATAATTTTAGCCATAAATAGGCATCATCTCCAAAATGTCTGGAAAATGAATATATATTCAACTATTTGATACTGACTTCACAGCATTGCTTAGGTCATATTTCCAATACCTCTCAAAATGGTAAAATAACTCAATAATATCGCATTCGTAAATCAATTTTCTTTCATTTGATATATAAATGAAAAATTTTGACCTTCTATAATTAGAATCATATTCCCAAGGCTGACATAGGGATTAGATTTGTCTGGTCAGTTCTTGGCAATCTGTATTCAGCAATTGGTAAATCATGATTTTGACCCCTGTGGTAAAATAATATTTTAGACAATAATATTTTAAGACAAATATTCATTTATAATGAATTGCATACCATTTTGTTGGAAATTGAATTGTCTTTCAATTGATATATAGTTTATACATGTGTAATATCAACAACGTTGTAGCAGAAACAAAAATGTGGACGTTTTTTGGCCAACTCTGTAGGTTATATACTTGAAAAGTAATTAGAATACTGCAGTCAGAAACGCATTGTGTTTGAGATTCTATAAGCTTTTTAACATACCTCTGTAATGTTGTAAGGCCGATAATATGATTATTAGTTTTACATTTGAGTTATCGATTTACGATCTAACACATGTACATGGTGAGCCAAAAAAAGTAACCCAAACAAATCTTAGTAACTCAGTCATCCGGTATGGGTTAACCGTTTTAAGTCATATTTGGCACCTTGTTCAATGTTCTTTCATTCTATTAAATTCATCGGTTTATTCGAAATGGTCAAGATTTTATGACCGTTTGACAAAACAGGCTCTAAGTGTCGGTTTTGTCCTGAGAGGCAAACTTGAGTGCATGCATGGGGTGAAATTAATTAATGAAATATAATAATACAGTATAATCTTTGAATTTGTTTTTTGTGATAATCAATGGAAACTAAGGGTCCCAATGAGATATGATGATAACACCATGTGAGTTAGACTCACAGATTGAAATTGATGCGTTACCAACTTGATGGCCCTTGCAAAAGTTTCATAAAACATATGTTCGTTTAGTGATTTTGTTTCTTTTAGGTGATTTTGTAGAAAATATTTTGCCATGTGTGAAAAGAGTTTGTGCGGTCATGCAAATATTTGGAAACAATGCCTCCAATGGTATGATTCAGCATACAATGCCCTGAACCCAGGGCTTATATCCCTAAACCCTACTAAATGATGTAGATATATAAAAATCAACTATTTTTTAGTTTAATTAGCTAGTGAAGAGTCGTTGGTGTAAACTCTGTGCTATACGTAGCCAGAAAAAGCGGGCACTTAAAAATAAACGACAAAGTAAGTGCAACACTTATCTCGTTCTTCTGGTTCAAGGCAGACTCGAGTAATGTACATGTGTCATAAATTTACAATAATGGGGAGGATAAGATACACGTTTTTAAAAGATAACTTGTACGCGAACGTGTAGAATTATGGACCTCTGTTATCTCGTACCAAGACCATTTCTTCAAATCGAGATTACTCTGTGGAGTTAATTCTTCCATTTGAACTGTTTTCTTGGCTGAAAAGGTATCTACTGGTATACGGAAAATAATTGTAATTGAGTCCCAGGAAAAGTGGATTGAGGGCGTAACAGTAATCCCCGGGGTCGAAATATTGCATGCTCACGTATAGGTTCTCTTGAAAACGTGTAACTTAACCTCGCTCGTATCGTTCTGTGCTTACTTGGCCTTAATATACTTGTATGTAAATCAAAGGGCACGTAAATTAATGTACAATATTTCTCAAACAGTTGATTTTTATTAATTCTACATTTTATATGGTAATGGGCTAGCCTACTTGATTTACTAAAACGTAATATTATACAGACTTTTAGTTTCGATTTTGGTAATGTAATGGATGATATGTAACGGATTCATGCGATGAATGATTGAAGTTTCTTTTGAAATACATTTGCAAGTTTGCACCATATGAGGCCTTATCCCTAAACTCTCGTAAAACTTCTCTAAATCGTTTTTAGACTCTATAGACATCTGATATTGATGAAAAAATGAGAAAGAAAACGAATGTGTTCTATTCTTCACAAGCAAAATTTGAAGAATATTGTGGTAATCGCAAAAAATAAAGAAAATGACCTAAATTTTGACCTTGACCTTTATCACTCAAAATTTTGGGACTCTATATTTAATATCAACATAACACTCAAGTCTTGGTTTACTCTGGTAATTTATGGATGTACCTTCGTATACTGACTGGACTTTGAAAGGTCAGTGGCAAAAATGATAACAAAGCGACATATTTACAGCCTTTATTGTCATAAAACTCATTATTCTGCCTTCAAGCCTGTAGAATTAGAATCACGGTGAGCGAAACCATCAGATATGTATGGCAGGTGAAGTTGTTTCATGGCCGTAGCTCTCAACTGAATCCTATCAAGTTTGCCATTTGGTCGGAGAGGAAAGCTGTCAACAAACACAAAATATTTTGGCGCCATGCTTTTGCCATCTGCTGTTCCCTCTGCAGTGAACACCTCATCACACCAGTTTCTCATATCTTCAGCAGTAAGGTTGGCACCAGGTTTCACTTCAATGCAAGCACATATCTCCTCATAGAGTCTTTCATCTGGTACACCTACCACGTACACACCTTCAATGCTCTCATTCGTAGCAAGGGTCTGTTCAAGTGGACCTGTAACTATTGAAAGCGTACCACGTTTAATCATGTCTTTGCAACGTCCAAATATGTACAGTCTTCCAGCTGAATCCATCTCCCCAATATCACCTGTGTGAAACCAGCCATGTTCATCTTGAAAAGCCTTGCTGACCCAGTTATGCCCCCTCAGACATACCTCCCCAGGTTGATTAATGGGAACAATGTAACCATTTTCATCAATCAATTTCACTTCAGCGTGAGGGATTGGGAATCCAACTGTAACGCGGCCATCAACTACAAGAGGGTCGCATATGTCTGTAGTTACAACAGCACCGCCAATTTCGCTAGCCCCATAGAGGTTTACAACTGTAAGAGCTTTGAAAACATCTCTCATTCCTTCCACAAGATTTATTGGAACTTTCTGTCCACCGATAAATATGGTTTCCAAACTTGTTATACTATATTTCATCTCGGAATCACTTTTGATGATATCATACATGAGGTAGGCCATCGCCATGATATGGGTGCATCTCTCAGATTTTATGCACTTTAGTGTGAAATCAGTTTGCCTTTCACTCACAGTCGCACTTGTATGAATCGATACACCCGTTACACCCAACCTGACAACGCTAACAGGCAGCATCAGACCCCCGAGCCAAGTGAACGGGCCATCATTAAAGAATATGCTTCCTTCGTCCATTCCACCTCTGAGTTTACATGAGAAGTAGTATGCATTTAATATGGATTGATGGTTTATAGGGACTGTTTTAGGTGCTCCTGTGCTACCTGATGTTAAGGCTATGAAGGCAATATCTTCACAGTTCTGTTTGAACATATTCTTGATGACATCATCGACGTCAGCTTGTTTAGAGATGGACAAAAGTTGATCGTATGATTTAGTACCATCAAAGGTAATCCCAATGGTAACAACCACCGGCGTTGCGTACTCATAACGATACCAGCCTTTATCACAATTCATGAGACGTTCTAGAACTTGTTTGGTCATAGGATTGTTATCATTATATATAAAGAGACCTCGGCATTTAGTGATCGATAATTTATTGAAAATGTCCTCCCCACTTTTTAGTTCGTAGCTTAGGCAGACTACAGTAGCTCCGATATAGAGGACGCCCCATGCAGCGATTAGAAACTCATTACAATTAGGCGCCAGTATAGCGACATTGTCACCGCGGTTGATGCCAAGTTTCTTCAATGCTGCACCAATTTTTCTCGATTTGCTTTGCCATTCTTCGAACACTAACACATCCTTCTTTTTGTTTATCGAATAATAAATCATCGCTTCTTTCTGGGGGTATTTCACGGCTGTATTTTCCAGAGCTTCAGCAAGAGTTAATGTTTCGAGTGGGTGACAAGACGCCCCATGGAGGTAAGACTTTGAAAGTGGTTTTGTAGGTAGTGTGATGCCACAACGGTTCTGCATCCTGAACCACAACTGACCTGAAATCAAATTAGTGACTATATATTTCAGATGTACAGGTTGATCATAAAGTAAGATCAAAACTGCTTTCACTTTTGTAAATATTAATGGATCTAGCTCATTTTCTCACAGAATGTTGATCTACGAGGGGTGATCAATAAGTAATGGACGCTTTTTTACACAGATACTTTTTATAGACCAATCCCTTTGATTTTCCTACCAGTGATACATCATTCAATTATCTATCAATTCTGAAGATTTGAAGACAAAATATATAATACATATTGATATATCCTTATTTCCGTGAAGGAGGTACAGGTACCCCGGGACCGACATTTACGTCACATATTCAGTTTTTAGCCAGTTTGGTAAATTTCAGTTAGATTCGAACTTTTTATATGCAACAAGTGTTGTGTTGTTTGAAATATTTGCTGACTGGTAACACATAAACAGAAAGTATTGTAATATCAGAGTGTTGTATGGAAGGGGTTTGCAGGTCAATTTGAGAAAGCATTGTGGAAGAAAGGGGTGGTGAGAGAAGGGAACACCCTACTCCATATGGACAATGCACCTGCCCACGATCTCAAAATGTTCAGAAAACAATATCCCTGGACCTCAAAATTGAGCCCTTGGCCAATGCATCATATTGTCCAGATCTGCTCACATGTGACTTGTTTATTTCTATACTACATATTTGTAACATGGCCATTTTCATACTTTCATATTTCTCACTTTTCATATTGATCAGTCCTATATATTTCCCTTATTCCCATTTTAACAGGTCCCTAGGTTACTATTGTATCAGTGCCAAATGTTTTAATCCTCTTGTTTGCCATGCCTTGCCTTTTCACTTTCTTTTGTTTCAAACCAGTTTTTAGCTTTTCATGTATGTTCAATGTTGTTTTGTATTGTGTTACTTCCATATATGGAAACTCACTTGAGTTTGGGTGTTGGCCCAGCCTCAGTAGTTGCTTTGAGATTGTACAGAGAACACTGTGTTTGTTTAGTTGGAATAGACGATTTTATATACTATTTTAACTTTAGTTTTCTGTTATACAAGTATTATATCGCCACCGACGGCCTTAGCCCCGGACATTACATATTTCTATAGAGAAAGGATGCAGGTTTATTGACATTGATGAAATAAAACAACTCATGCAACTGCATCTTCCTACCATGTCAGAGAATGTATTCAGCCTTGTCTCACAATCTTGAGTTAAGAGGATGAGGAATTGTGTACATGTAGCACTTGATGGAACCTACATGTATTTATAGAGCCCTGTGGAATGAATGTGGCATGAATACCACATAGTGATGATAAAATATTCAAAATCAACTATGGCATAAAAAATGGGGTAATTCATGGCCATAATGGTTTGTTTTGTTCAGCCTGCATTCAACTGCATTGCATGTTAAACAATCTAAAATAGCTTCAGAATATGTGACGTAAATGTCGGATCCGGGGTACCTGTACCTCCTTCACGGAAATAAAGATATATCAACATGTAATATATACATTGTCTTCAAATCTTTAGAGTTGAGAGATAATTGAATGATGTATCACTGGTAAGAAAATCGAAGGAATTGGTCTATAAAAAGCATCTGTGTAAAAAAGCGTCCATTACTTATTGATCACCCCTCGTACTAATTACACATACACAAAATAAAATTTGATATGTTACATTTATTATGTTCAACACATGTTTAGGGACATTCAATCAAGTCCATGAACACATGTTTAAAACCACCTTCACTTATCACATGCACCCCGTCGAATAAAAACTTTTTGAGATCCTCGTCTTTAATCAAAAATTCTCCCCATAGTTCATATTTTAAGTTCCCATACAGTCTGATTGAGCCATGTCTGGTGAGTAAGGGCCATACCCAGTTGTTCAAACCCTTAGCTTTCCATTTACTTCCATGTTAAACTTGCTGTCTGGCAAGGTACATTATCTCAATGCAGGATGAATTGATATACCAACTTTGGTCTTTTCTTGCGAGTGGCATTCAAACATGTATTCATGGACTGGATTAAACATCGAAAAAGTGTGTTGAACATGATAGCAAATATATAGAACACCTAAAATGAACAGTGAGAAAATAATAATATAGAAGAATGCATTGAATATAACAAAATATGGCGGTATTCCCAAAGTATAAAACCATTAAGAAAGAAAACATCACACTATTTTCTTTCTTTTTTGACTGCTCCGGGGCTTGACTTGGGTTGCCATGGTTACCATAGAACGCACAATATTAAATGTAACATATCAAAACTTATTTTGTGTATGTATAATTAGTAGATCAACATTCTGTGAGAAAATGAGCTACATGTAGATCCATTAATAGTTACAAAAGTTAGAGCACTTTTGATCTTACTTTATGATCACCCTGTATATATATAACTTGGCGAGTTATGTTAAGTACTTATACTATTACCCTACAGTTTCTTACACGATAATACGATGTCCCTTTGACCTATTTTAGAAGCAGAATGAGCTTTTGATTTAAAACAGTTGTAACATAGTTACTAAATCCTGTTAAAAGACGTTTTACTTTTAGTTGAGTTCCCAAATGTGTTCACTTACTTTAGTCCCCTAAGAATAATTTGTGTTTTGTTGAATTGCTGAAACCATCGGAGATTAATAATACTAACTTTGTATTGCAGCCGCAGTAGTCACGTATACGAGTCTACGTTTTTTGGGGGAATCCCCAGGAGTCAAATACCTCGTAAACGAGGCTGCAGCTGATAACGGGAGCATTTCTTTCGCCTATTTTGGAACTTTCAAAACTGCACGGATAAGTTTGACATTATCAGCCTGAGTAGTAAAGATGGCAATGTAGATACGACGTATGCCTATGTAAAGATGCCAATGTAGGTACGACGTACGCCTATGTAAACAAAAAATCCCCGATTTCTATATAGGCCAGGATATAGCATGGATTTTGGGAAGTTCAAGGGCCACTCAAGGGCGTTACAATACCCGGGAATTTATCGGTTCGTCCAGTACTTGTTTGTGATAGCGCCCTCTGTAGGTCACTGTGCTTGTAGCCTACAGTAATACGGGGTAGGATATCGGGAATTCGGTCAGTTTCTATCCGTCGATTTCGCTATGAATTGAAGCAAGTGTGACCACTTTATCCACTTAAACAATTTGATAATTGATTAAATCTTTAAACAAAATCGATAAACACGTTATACACTTCCTATCTCCTTAGAAATTATAGACTGTGGACTACTCTGATAATTGTAACTTCTGCTTTTCATGGAAGGTCACACATTCCAACATATTTCAAACAGTCTGTATGCTTATGCTGGGTACTTTCTGGGTAGTTGGACTTCATGTAGGGGTGGCAGACGGCCCTCGGGCCAATTTATACCCCCACCCCAAGAAAACCTTGGGGGTACTTTAATACCACCTAATAAAAAGAATACTAATGCATGTCATACATTCATAGTTTTTTAGTAGGCAGGGCATACCATGGTTAGTCAGTGCCAGAAATTTAAAATGTCTAGCTTATATGGTTACCATGGAAACAGTATTTATATGTCAAAATCTTCTCAATTTGACCTCCTCCCAAATATGTCCCTTCGCTCTCAAAGTGAAATATTTGCAAATATGTTCGGAATTTGTGGCTACCACTTTGTCAAAGGTTGTATAAATATGTATATATTCACACTAAAGCACTAAAAAGTTGATATAATGCTCCAATAAATCAATAATATTTATCAAATATAGTCACACACAACTACTTTTAGGGGAAAGTGGGCGTGGCACTTTTTGATACTTGCGTAATTGTTGCAGCATTAAGCGAAAAATACATATTACACTAACAACAATTGACATTTAATTATCATCTACTAACATTGTGTAACATTGTAATATGTTCATTATCATTATTAGATACTTAAGATATTTTATATAAGTGTTATCATGAACCTTCCTTTTATCCCTATATCATAGAAGGTGGGCATCACCAATGGTGTCAAACTAACTTTTCTGTTTCATTTATTTTTTACCATAGACAGGGGAAAAAGCTTTCTTGAAGTAGTGACCTCATTAGGTGCTATATATATGGATAGATGGATTGATACTAGTAGGTAGATGGCAGCACTTGTGCTAGTTGGACTAGATACTAGTGTTTACCATTGACTCGACATATTTCACTTAGTCTATTGATTTATCATATTAATTCTGTTGGATTAAAGTAAACCTGCATTTGCAATGAATTTGATGATGTTCAGATTGTGTTTGAAATTTGATGATAATCAGATTGTGTTTGAGACTGGATGTTGTTCAGATTGTGTATATATGAACTTTAAAAGGACCACTGAAACAATAAGTCAATGTTAAAGATTCTTTAAAATTATGTCAATGAGACAGCAAGATTTGCAACTTTTTCATTATTTGATAATTTCACCTATTATTCTTTATTGCTGATTAAAAATTGCAAGGCATTTAAATGACCTAGGGAAGCCGGTGATATAAATTGGCCTTATTAATTGATTTACAGTAAAATGGAATATTGTGAAGAACAAGAAAATTGTTCCACAGCTTCACAGGAAATATGGGAGCAAAGTCAACAAGGGATGTGGGAAACTAGGCTGTTTATATAGAGAGATTTAGAACTCTCCAGGGAAGTGTTTCTATTTGGTATAAAATACACAGGTCTATTCATGCATACCATTTTAAATATGACTCAAAATTAGTGATATCCATGTTTCTGGTGAAAGCATCAATTGAAACAGACAAACATCCTACTCCTATGGTATAAATAAAATATAAGGAAGTTCGAAGCAGTAAAAAGGTATTACCATTTTAGATTTGATTGAATAAATTGAATCAGTGGCAATTTTTAAATTTTGATATGTTAAAAGAGGCTCTGTTGGTTAGATGGGAGAATTAGCTGCATGTTAAAGGTGGCGTTTTGCTCAGTTTATAACAAAATTGATATTTAGCCCGAAGCAGTAATAAATATTAAGCAAATATTTCATTCTATGG